CCAAGGTGGGCAGAAGAGCATCTCTGAACGCACAGTACGTCGAACTTTGACGCAGATGGGCTACAGCAGCAGAAGACCACACCGGGTGCCACTCCTTTCAGCTAAGAACGGGAAACTGAGGCTACAATTTGCACAAGCTCATCGAAATTGGACAATAGAAGATTGGAAAAACGTTGCTTGGTCTGATGACTCTCGATTTCTGCGGCGACATTCGGATGGTAGGGTCAGAATTTGGCGTCTACAACATGAAAGCATGGATCCATCCTGCCTTGTATCAACGGTTCAGGCTGGTGGTGGTGGTGTCATGGTGTGGGGAATATTTTCTTGGCACTCTTTGGGCCCCTTGGTACCAATTGAGCATCGTTGCAACGCCACAGCCTACCTGAGTATTGTTGCTGACCATGTCCATCCCTTTATGACCACAATGTACCCAACTTCTGATGGCTACTTTCAGCAGGATAATGCGCCATGTCATAAAGCTGGAATCATCTCAGACTGGTTTCTTGAACATGACAATGAGTTCACTGTACTCAAATGGCCTCCACAGTCACCAGATCTCAATCCAATAGAGCATCTTTGGGATGTGGTGGAATGGGAGATTCGCATCATGGATGTGCAGCAGACAAATCTGCGGCAACTGTTATGCCATCATGTCAATATGGACCAAACTCCCTGAGGAATGCTTCCAGCACCTTGTTGAATCTCTGCCACGAAGAATTGAGGCAGTTCTGAAGGCAAAAGGGGGTCCAACCTGTTACTAGCATGGGGTACCTAATAAAGTGGCCGGTGAGTGTATATATATATATATTTAAATATGTGGATGCACTGTTTATACTGTATATATATCCCATGCACCTTTTTTTTCCTTTGGCACATTCTTCTTCTTTGACTACATTTCTCCACTGTGAGATCAATAAAGTCAAACAATCAATAACTTGTCATCACCTAAAGCATACTTTTCCATTGACCCATTCAACAATTTGTGATGTGGAAGCGACAAACCTCAATGTTTGTTATTGGGATTATATTTGACAAAACAACATGAAAGATTTTCATCATAATAATGAGGAAGGAAATTAATACAGGATTTTTAACTAACTCAAATGATTTAGAAAGAATGAAATAAAAGAGTATTTTTTTAGGATGCAGCGTCAGTTTTCCATTGCTTTCTAGTTGTAGGATAATAGACTGAACAGTAATAAATAAAATGTTCATTACTTGGGACATACTTTCTTCATCCTTCCTTTAAATATCCATTATTTTAATCCCAGCCTGTCTGGGATTTTCCTTTGTTTTCGTGATGCTTTTTGTTCATAAAAGTTATACAGAGATTAATAACCCAAGAGGGGTCTATTTATATGGGGATTCTAAAGGCTATCTGAACAGAAGGAGCTGAAAACAAATGCTCACCTCACTTATATGTAAAAAGTCCTGAAAAAGTAGTACTACCTTTGACTATAATTGTGGAGTAATATGATAATAATTTATATATGACATAATATAAAATGTGAAACGGTTTGAAGGGTATTAAGTCCCAAAAAAAGTCTAAAATGCAATATGTAGTGAAACATTTGAATCTATCTACATGCACTGTATATAAAAAAAGATTGTCTTGTCTCACATCAGAGAACATTGGAATTAAAATAACCAAAATTGTTCACTGTTGCTAAATGCCAGTGTAATGGAAAATAAAAAGAATGTGTTGACGTTTTTTTTTTCTTCCCCTTTTCCTTTTCAAAATGATGACATTTACATGTATTTCTAAAGTAAGTGATAGCATTGGCTTTTTAAACTGTATGTACTTATTGTCCCCTGCTTATCCAGGACTAGGCTGTGGGGGCCTAGGCCTCCTATCAGTGGGAGGAGACGTGTGGAACCTCTCCCATTGACCAAACTCCTCACCCTATTAAGGGAGTGCACTGCCACCCTGCAGAAAATGCACAGCCTAGCTTCTTGTTTCCCTCCTTGAACCACTACCTTAACATGGCGGAGGGGCTTCAGTGTTCGTATGGGCTTAAATTCCCACTGGTAGGGTCTCCTATGGCAACAGTCTCTAGGTGGTACATAAGGTATCCCGTCCCAAGCTTTTCAAAATAGTTTGCTGGAATTGTGGACCATTCCTGTTGACATAACTGCAGCTAGAGCTGTGTTTTTATAAAAGGTTTATTAATAGCTTTTTTTTATACAAAATATGACATCCAAAATTTCTGTCACCTACGCTGCTTTTTGAGTGCATTCGAGTCAAAACAGTAGAATTAGACCAAAACAACATGATATGGTTTAAAACCAATGGATTGTCTCTCCAAAGTGTGGAAGTATTTATACAGGTGCTGGTCATAAAATTAGAATATCATGAAAAAGTAGATTGATTTCAGTAATTCCATTTAAAAAGTGAAACTTGTATATTATATTCATACATTACATACAAACTCATATATTTCAGATGTTTATTTTGTTTAATTTTGATGATTACAAATGACAACAAATGAAAATCTCAAATTCATCATATCAGAAAATTAGAATATTACTGAAGACCAATAAAAACAAAGGATTTATAGAAATGTTGGCCAACTGAAAAGTATGAACATGAAAAGTATGAGCATGTACAGCACTCAGTATTTAGTTGGGCCTCCTTTGGCCTGTATTACTGCAGCAATGCGGCGTGGCATGGAGTCGATCAGTCTGTGGCACTGCTCAGGTGTTATGATAGCCCAGGTTGCTCTAATAGTGGCTTTTAGCTCTTCTGAATTGTTGGGTCTGGTGTATTGCATCTTCTTCTTCACAATACCCCATAGATTTTCTATGGGGTTAAGGTCAGGAGAGTTTGCTGGCCAATTAAGAACAGGGATACCATGGTCCTTCAACCAGGTACTGGTAGCTTTGGCACTGTGTGCAGGTGCCAAGTCCTGTTGGAAAATGAAATCTGCATCTCCAAAAAGTTGGTCAGCTGCAGGAAGCATGAAGTGCTCTAAAACTTCCTGGTATGTGGCTGCGTTGACCCTGGACCTCAGAAAACACAATGGACCAACACCAGCAGATGACATGGCACCCCAAACCATCACTGACTGTGGAAACTTTACACTGGACTTCAAGCAACGTGGATGAAGTGCCTCTCTTCTTTTCCTCCAGACTCTGGGACCTTGATTTCCAAAGGAAATGCAAAATTTACTTTCATCAGAGAACATGACTTTGGACCACTCACCAGCAGTCCAGTCCTGTTTCTCTTTAGCCCAGGCAAGACGCTTCTGACGCTGTCTGTGGTTCAAGAGTGGCTTGACACAAGGAATGCGACAGCAGAAACCCATGTCTTTCATACGTCTGTGTGTGGTGGTTCTTGAAGCACTCACTCCAGCTGCAGTCCACTCTTTGTGAATCTCCCCCACATTTTTGAATGGGTTTTGTTTCACAATCCTCTCCAGGGTGCGGTTATCTCTCTTGCCTGTACACTTTTTTCGACCACATCTTTTCCTTCCCTTCGCCTCTCTATTAATGTGCTTGGACACTGAGCTCTGTGAACAGCCAGCCTCTTTAGCGATGACCTTTTGTGTCTTGCCCTCCTTGTGCAAGGTGTCGATGGTCGTCTTTTGGACAACTGTCAAGTCAGCAGTCTTCCCCATGATTGTGTAGCCTATAGAACTAGACTGAAAGACCATTTAAAGGCTTTTGCAGGTGGTTTGAGTTAATTAGCTGATTAGAGTGTGGCACCAGGGGCCATCAATTTTGAACCTTTTCACAATATTCTAATTTTCTGATATGATGAATTTGAGATTTTCATTTGTTGTCATTTGTAATCATCAAAATTAAACAAAATAAACATCTGAAATATATGAGTTTGTATGTAATGTATGAATATAATATACAAGTTTCACTTTTTAAATGGAATTACTGAAATCAATCTACTTTTTCATGATATTCTAATTTTATGACCAGCACCTGTAAGTAGAAGGGATTTAATTTTAATGACAGGAGGTAAAATGGAAAAAGAGGAGCTCCCATTGATAAAACAATTGGCTTTATAAAGAAATTATTTTCAGAAGACAAATCACCCAGACTCTAAACATAAAGGAAAACAGTTTAATCTTAGAATAATAGTAATAATCCACATATTCTTAGTAGACATGTCTCCTACATCTAAACACAAAGTGAATTACCAACAATCCAAGGCAGCAAGTTGCATTTTATTTTGTATTTTATAGGATTAACACTAAGAAGTGCTTTAACACTCCGGCACACATGGGCAATGTGGAGTCAACAAGTCATCTCCATGTCATGTATTTGTTCTACCCAGCCACTGAAGCAGGTGAGTCCAATCTTCACCGTGAATTAACCTGTGCAGATTGGACTCACCTGGTTAATTGGCTGGGTAGATTAAATACATGACATGGAGATGAATAGTTATCTGCTTGTTGATTAGTTTACTATAAATATTTTATTTATGACCAAGATGAGTACTTGGTAAAGAATTCTTAATCTAAATGCACAGTTTAAGTTTATTAGACTGATTTGAGTTGAATGCATATGAACTTCCTCAGTTTGTGCCTTTAGATAATTTGCTTTGATTTTGCACTGTATGAATAAAAATGAATGTAACAGTTCCAATACTTCAATGTACTGCATTCATATGACTATCCTGGTCAGTCTCTCTACCCAATATGGTGGTTTCAGACACAACAAGCAGCTAACTGTTCGAAATATATTTATTTTTAAGGCTGGTCACTATTTCATTCATCTGAAATAAACAGTTTATTGAAAAAGAAAGCAGATTTAAATTCTGAAATCACTGTTTGTGAGAATAGAAATATTCTTCCACCAAGTTCCATAAACACACATTATTTTTGGCATTAAAAGTTCAAACATTTCTGGGAACAAATCTGAGTCCACAATTCTGTATTTATTGTACATTTTCCGAAATTCTCAAAAGGCTCAAAACTATGCATGCAATCCTGCTTACATTTGGTGTTCAAATAAAAAAACTAAAATAAAAAATTAATCTGACTTTTATGACATTGATAAAAACATCTGGCCCTGAACTTTTGACAGCTGAAAATCATCTGTTTACGCCATGTTTTCATTTTTGTTTTAATAAAACAGTGCAATAGATTCTTGTCAGCTATTATCATGTAATAAATGACTCAAATTTCTTTTTAACACAGATGGAAAAATAATGCTGGTGTTGGAACAATTTCCTTGTATTCTGACATATAGTTACAGACACATAAGAACTAGAAAAACAATTGGAGAATTCTGTCAAAAAAGCATGTGTGTTTAAAACTTTTAAACAAAATGAGAAATCATAAAAAAAGGGGGGGAAGAAAATTATAAACCCACAGTGGGTCAAACAAAGACCCTGCACATTACAAGCCAACCTGTGGCACAACAATAAGGAAGACGCTTATGATCCCTCCGTTGATTTTTTACTATTAAGTTAACATCAACTGAGTCATTTTCAGTTATTTACTTTAAAAGAGGGAGGTTTGTTAAACATGAATAAGTAAATATTATTATTACAGTGCGGACATTTCATTGCATTCCCATAAGCCATGGTTACATCAGGAGAAGAGGGTTGAGAATAGGAATGTTCTTCTTTAGACGTAGAGGGCTGCGGATCAAAAGCTGAATCTGGTGAGGCTTCTGTCAGAACAGGCTTCACTGAGAGCTCAGGCTCCGATGGGACTGTCTTCTTGGAGGGTGGGGCATCATGAAGGTGAGGCTTCTTGGAAGGGGGGGCGGCTTCCAAGAGAGGCCTCAAAGAGGGTGAAGAAAGTAGCTCAATGAGCGGGTCCTTTGGAGGTGAGGCGGGTTCCAGACATGACTCTGGGATTGGTGCTCCTTCATTAACCCCCTGACATATCAGCAAATGCTTCTTCATGTCCAAACGGCGCATAACTGTCCGAGAACAAAGCGGGCAGTGGAAATGTCCCTGTGGTCTACACTGAAGGCTGCATCGGAGTAAAATTTTGTCTGCAGGAGGAAAACAAAAACAAAAACAATGCAATGACATGTATTCACTATGGTTTATTTGGGTCCATTGCTTCTCAAAATACATGAATTTAAATGACATGTTGATTCAAAGGTTTTAATATAATTCTAATCCAATCTGCAGCTCATACCTGGTATTTCTTTTATTATAGTTAAAGACGTGTATATGGAAATATTGGACTATTCTGTGAAAAACCCTGAAAGTTGCTTTAAATCTAGATTAAAAATGTATTTGTTCACCGTGGCCTTTGACTGTGCTATCTTAAAATAATATGGTTTCAATCCAACTTTCCTTCCATTATATTCCCCCATCAATCAATGTATCTTTTTTACATAATAATCTTACTGAAATTTCTCATTTTTATTGCCTTTATGCCAAAATACAATAAAAACATAAACAATGCAAGGAAGTCATGATATAAAATGTAAAAAAAAGCTCAGTCAGAATGAACATAATCAACAAACCTTTGTAAGGTAAACCATGACTAATATGGTGGCTCATGTGTTTCTCGATCCTTTCCTTAACAGTGGGTTCGAAGTTGGGGCAAATGGGGCAGTGGAAAAGTTTATTACAGCATGTGTTGCATTCTTCCAAAGCAATCTTTGTGTTAAGATCAAAGATTGAGACGTGCATCTGAAACAAACATGAAGCAGAGGAACTGCAGTTACAGGTTTGAAATACCACTACAGCCTAACCTAAAACCATTTCTGTTTTAACTGATATACAGTCAAAGTAAAAAAAAAAGAAGGTACACCCTTTGTGCAGGTCTACGGTTTTTCATTCCAGGGCATGATAAAAAGATTAGAATTATTACTACATCCTAAAATTGTTCAAACCTATCCACAACAAACAGGTATGCACGATTCTATAACAGGTGAATACTTGCTATATCAGTTGTAATAAAACAAAATTCTTGTGATTTTCAGATTATGACACGTTCTGCACCCCCCACTAAATTGTTCAAAAATATACAGATTCTGATTTTCATTTTTTTTTTTACAAAAATAGCTTATAAAACTTCACTGCTGAGATGCAGACCATCATCATAAAGCAATATACTATAAAGGAAGATTTGAAACATTTGTTATGGCTACCTTACACCCTGACCTAGCAGCTAACCCAGACATGGCAAACTACGGCCATACGTTAAGCTTTTTAATCCGCCCCGCCGATCTTGCTCACTACTTCACACCCTGAAATAGCACTTAGCCTGTCAGATCGTCATACGCTGTAGCACAAATTCAAGAGAATAACATACCAGAAATCTACTAGACTGCTTTATATGTGATATAATAGAAAAAAAAGTTGTAGTCGAAAGAGCTAACCTCTAACCCTGACGTAGCAGCTAACCCAGACATCTGCAAACTATGGACCCCGGGACATATAGGGCCCGTTAGGGTTTTTTTATCCGGCCCACTGAACTTGAACAAATCATAGTAAAAACCCATGGATGTTTAGAAACCTCATTAATTTCCCTTTATTCTGCAATACCCTTGTTTCCCCCATTAGGCAGCGCACTAGTCTAGACACATTGCTGGAGTGCAACTTTCCAGCTGCCATTTCCCCCCTTTGGTAAAAATGACAGGAAAGATGCTGCTCAGCTCCTAATTTTTATCAGAGGGATAAATGACAGTTTGGTATAACGGAGGAGCTTTTGAGCATGGACTCGCTGAAGGGAAAAACTCGAGAAGAGAACTATATGAACAGGTTTCTGCTGTCATTGAGAGAATGAAGCTGCCTTGGAGTAAACTTGCCAGTGTCACCACGGATGGATTGCCAAATTCAACTGGAAGAAACGTTGCGCTGCTGAAAAGAATCCAAGATAAATTAAAAGAAGTTTTTTTCACTGTCTCATTCATGAAGAATTTCTGCATTACAGCTTAACCATGTCATGGATCCAGTTGTTAAACTTGGTAACTTCATAGGAGCAAGGGGACTTATTCAGAGTCAGTTCATTACATTCCTAGAGGAAACCGATGCGGATCACAAGGACTTACTTTACCACTCTTGTGTCCGCCAGTTAAGTTTGAGGAAAGTGCATCTATGAGTTTGGGAGCTCGCAGAGGAGATTCATTGGTTTTTGGAGCGAATGGGGAAATTCGACAAATTCCCTGATCTTAGTGATGATGACTGGCTTTGAAACTTTGCGTTTGCTGTGGACATATTGTCACACATGAATGAGCTGAATGTAAAAGCTGCAGGGAAGAAATCAGTCTGTGCACAACATGTACACAACTTTGAGAGCCTTCGAATCCAAGCTGATTTTATTCTCCAGGCAAATGTCAAACAAATCTTTTGCTCATTTTCCCACACTGGCCATGCAGATGGCCATTGGTCCATTGATTTTGGAAAAATTGACAAGTCACTTCAGGTGATGTTTTGTCCCCTTTTACAAGACCCCAAAACAGCACCGCATGAGCTGCAACTGGAGCTGCTCAATCTTCAGTTTGACTCTGTCCCAAAAGAGAAGTTTCTTCAACTTAATGACTTTTACGCCTAACTTAACGAGGCCACGCACCAGTACATTAACTAAATTAAACTGCTACACAGAGCTCTCAATGTTAAGACCCATTTCTTTCATCTGGTAATAATATGACCTGAATGCTGAAAGTCATTCCATTGATCTTTTTCCTCTAAATGTTGATTTCTTTGCACCTTCAATTGTGTCTGTTTTTAATACATTTCGATCCCCAGGTTTGATAAATCACATTGCATGTCCAAATGCTCCTGGCCCGGCCCCTCTGTCAAAATTTAAAACCCTTTCTGGCCCACAAGATAAAAAGTTTGCCCACCACTGAGCTAACACGCCCCCCCCCCCCCCCACAACCCCCCGACCCCCCCCCCCCCCCCAAAAAAAAAAAAAAAAAAAAAGAATCAACTGGGCACACACGTCGTTAAACCAGATATAATAAATCTATACACATATTTTGTTTTCAAACTCCACTGAAGTTTATTTCACACTTCAGGTTGCAACAAAACAAACTACACCATCTTTACAGTGGAACACTTTTGTGTAACTGTATTTTTTTCATAGTTCTATACTGTAGATTAGAAGAGGATTCTTTGTTGTCTGTGTTATTTTAAACATATTTCTTTTTTTTTATTTGTAACAATATTTAACTTTGCTATAATCTATACATTAAAAAAGCCTCTGTGCAAAATGGAGTGAAAACATTTAACAGCTCCCTGAGAGTTTTTTCTTTGTACTTTAATCCTCCCATCTTTTCAGTGGCTGTAGTGAGCCTGCTTTTTGCTGTAGATCTTCTCAAATCTGGGTTGCAGTGTCACAACTGTCCATTATGCTCAGTCAAGCAAGCGCTGTTTTTTTTTTTTTTTTTTTTCTTCACTCATACCGCTTCCCGCGCCCCCCCTGCAATGGCATTGCGCCCCCCCTAGGGGGCGCGCCCCACACTTTGGGAACCACTGCCCTAACCTGAGGATCAACTCCCACACACCTGATACCTGTTGATTAAAATTAAAATGTGCAAGGATAGCATAGAAGAAAAAAAAAACTACAGGAAATGCAGTGGATGGTTACCTTGATGCAATCCAGCGTCTGAATGACCTCCATTGGAGGCCCGAATCTCTGGCACTGCTCACATTCAGACACCTGAAAATGTTGCTGTTTTTCAGTTTTATGGGACTTTCGAGCTTAAGCATATTGTTAAGAATTTGGAAACATACCCATTTCTGTATGTCTGATGTCATACCAGGCCAAAAAAATCGAGAGCACATGGAAATGCGGGTTTTCACAATACCAGTGTGTTTTCCTGTGGGTGAAGCATGAAACTCCTTGAAAAGGCTCCAGGCCTCCTCTCTAGACTTTATGGCCCGTCTGTGAGGTGAGGCTCCAAAGAATAGGTGTCCAGCTTCATTGAAAGAATGTATGCATTATATCATTATCATAGAAAACGTGTCTGTTTAAAATATCAAAGCCTTACCATGGATGGTGAATTTAGAGGCAAATTTTCTCAGCGTTTGCCTTTGCCCTCTGGTACTTGTAGGTGGATAGGAACCTTCAGACACAAGGTTGTAGATCTCATCCCATTTGCTCTCCATTTTTGCTATAACACAATATACATCAAATAAGCATTTTAACAAGAACGTCTGTTGATGATTTTATACAAATTAAGATTTTCTTTTTTATATTAAAAGTATGTGCAGTCCCTGGAAAGTTCAATGATTTAAAAAAAAAATAAAATATGTGGCAATTTTTTTCAGAAATGTGATCATAGATTGAACTATTCCTTTAATCCCAACATTGACAATGATTATTTTTTTTTTTATTGGCAAACTACAACTTTGCATCTTGCTCATGTTTGATTCACTTCAATTTATCTTCAATTTATCTTCCTTTTGCTCTGCCCATCCAAGATGACGTCATGTCCAAATCAAAGTTTTTATTTCACTTTTATATTTTTTTTAATACAAAACAGTTATCAATGCAGACAAGTATTTTTCATTTTTTTTTACAGACATATAAAAAAAAACAAAAGGCAAAAAAAATCAGAAGCCAGGGGGAGAATTACATAAATACATTCAATAAAATGCACATTGTTTTTACAGCTTTTTTTTTGTTAGTGCAATCAGAAATGTTTACTATTTAATGTTAAACTCTTTTTTTAAATGCTGCAAAAGAAGCGACATTGTGAGTTATTTAAGTTTTTTTGCGTATGAAATTCCCTCTAGAGATGTCCAAATCTAAATCGTCAACAATTGGCGGGGGCGGAAGGCATGTTATGGAGCTGCGGGTGGATCCTTTAAAACTACCTCGACGCGCGGGTATCCCTTAAGTTATGTACACATAACACACTTTAAACTATTATAACCATTAAATTATGTAATAAAAAAAGCAAACAAAAAACACAATAAAATTACTTGCTTTTTGTTGTTTTTTTGTGGCGTATGGCGAACTGACGGCTCCTCCAGTAGGGCATCTAGGTGATCTTCTTCTTCTTCTTCTTTGTTAGATTGACGGATTGTAAAAAACGTATCGGTGCTTAACGCCACCTACTGTACATGAGTGTGTATTTCTATAGTTCCACCTACTATATTTTTTTGTTTGTTTTTTTTTTTTGTTATGTGAAAATAAAAACAATGCTTTAACAAAATGTTCCTCCTTATTCCTTTAATACTCCATTCTCTCCCTTTTCCATACTTTCCTCATCCTCTCTCTTTCAGTTGCACATTTAATGCAATCCATCAAAACACGATCCACATTTTCTTTTCTTTCACTACCATCACATATATCATTATTTCTCTTCCCTAGTACAAACAAAAACTCATTTAAGTAGGTATGTCCAGTTCTTAATCTAGTATAAATTATCTCTTCCCTTCTGTTTCTTTCTCCATAATTTTTAACAATTACAAATTTTTGAACCCTATATAATCTTCTTAATTTCTCATCTTCATCCCATATTTTTGCCTTAATTCTGTTTCTTTCCTCTTAATTATTGATTTACATTTCCCTTTCCCAAATTGAATCTGATCTATATTCTGCTTTCCTAAAGCCTTTTTAGCTATCTTGTCTATTTCTTTGCTCTCACCCCTTCGTGTGCTGGAACCCAACAGAACTGAACATCTATTCCATACCTAAATAACCTAAATCAACTCTGATGAATTTCTAGTTAAAGGTATTTCCTGTTATTTCCTCCTGAATGAATGCTTTCTATTTCAGCTTTAGAATCTGTGCAAATCACCACCCTGTCTGGTCTGACCTCCTCCACCCACTGTAAACTAATAATAATTGCTACCATTTCTGCTGTATATATAGATAAAAAGGTCTGTTAATCTTTTACATATACATATATTAAATTCTGGAGTGAATTCTTCTTCTTCTTCTGCTGGAGTTTCACTTCCAGAGAGTCACACAGAACATGGAGGATTTTATTCATTTGTGGGGTTTTAAAAACATTTTATGTACTGTGTCAGATGATGGAGAACTGCATTACAACAAGCTCCTCATTAAATGCTTTTACTTTAATAGTGATTTTTTACCTGACACTTGTTTTACTTCAGTTGTTTATATGTTTGAATTGTGTAGATAGAAAAAGGGTTCTTAAAAGGTGTTCTTCTTCTTTTCCTTTTTTATGGCAGTTGGCACGCAACTTATTGATGTGCATTGCCTTCATCTACTAGAATGGAGTGTACATAGGGATGCTATACATAAATCCCCCCCCAACCCCTCTAAAAGAAAAAAAATAATAATAAAATAATAATAATAATTAAGTTAATAAATCTTATATTCTTTCTAGAAATGTCGTTTTCTTAAGGTAATTTCATTAAATAAAAAAACAGTTAGACGTAGAAGGTTTGTCCAAAATATCTTCTATATTTAATTGCTATTTTTATTTTCTTGTAATCGACTAACTAAATGCATCTCGTGGAGCGGATAAGAGCGGATCTATTTCCTCCTTCATTTCCCCTCACTCACGCAAACCTGTAATCTCGCGATATTTTCTAAGGTCAAAGTTAGCAGCACCATGTGTGACTGAGGAGAGGAGCTCTCCATTTATTATTTACATTATCTGCTACGGTATCAGTTTAACTGCAAGAAAAAGCTTTACTTTGTTAGTCTAACTTTATGAAGGGTTAGCATTAAAGCCTCTTCAATGAACGTTTTTCGCGATATTTTTCCTAAGTTGATGGAGCAGGTAGGATGCCACCGCTGCTGTTGGAGCCGATAATGAGTTTTTCAGCTTGATATGTTTAAAATCCGACCGCTATTAAGTGCCTTAATAAACTACAGACAGTTGCTGGAGAGAAACGGTGAGTTCAAGTTTAAGAAAACACAGCAACTCATTCTTTATTTCTGTTGTTGGGTTTATAAACATGCTGTGCTTAATCTGCAGGTTATAAGTTCTTGTGCACAATGACTGAAGCATCCACAGATCAGCAGACAGCCAAGCTGTTGAAAAGGGAAAATGAGGATTCAGCAGAAAGAGTCAGTAAAAGACTGAAATCAGAAGGGGAGCAAGCTGATGATGACAGGAAGTATCCTAAAAAGAAAGTGGCCCTTCTTTTGGCATATTCTGGGAAGGGATACTATGGAATGCAGGTATGTTTATTTGCTTTCTGTAGAAATGGTGCAAAAAAAAGATGATCTAGATCTTAACATGTGTTTTTAACAGAAACCGCCAAAGCTCTCTCACAGAGTTGGCACATATTAACACAACCAGAAACAATTATTCTGAGTCTTCCCTAGATATTAAGTAGAAATGTGGGTCTTGACTTTCATTTTATATACACAGGGTGTACACAAAATTAAATTTTGTTACCTACAGCTTTGTGACAGCAGCGATCAAAAATGTAAACATTATAGGAGAGACATGGTGCAAATTGATGTTTAAGGTTCAGAGCAGTGCAAAATAAATAAATAGATATGGTGCAAAATGCAGTAGAAACACTGAGTTGAGTTCTATTTTGAAGATTCACCATGTAGTGCAAGTATAATCTCATTAGTGTGATGCAGAGTTTCATTAATAACACTATACTTGATTCGTGCATTTAAGGTTAGAGGATCCTCAATGCACAGAATATTTGCAACTTTTGCTCCACCTGCTTTGTCAGAGCCTGTAATTGATTGATAACTGACCATTACTTGTGCTGGGTGGCAGTCTTTTGGTTTCTGTGATGGTCAAGTTGTCTTTTTTTAATAAAGAAAAGTGCATAGGCCTAATTTCACACAGCTGACTGACAGTGTTAAAATGCAGTTTGCTGTAATAACCTTGGAGGGTGTGTGTACAGTTAATTTAAATCTCATACAGATGGAAAAAAATTAAAAACTCCATTCACTGTTCCAATTTCTGTAGTATTTTAATGAAAGGATTAACTATGTGAATGAAATTATAAAAGGAGTTTCCGTATGTTCTTTAGGTGCACTCTGGAGAAGCATTTAGAATAAATTGCCATGCATTATTTCAGGCATCAGACAAATGAAACATTGTTTTAGGAAAACATTTTATTTAAGGAATTCAAACATTAGATCTCTACATAACTTTCTAGAAGTCATATAGGGAAAATAAATGTTTGTAACCTGCAAGCCTCATTTTTCATCCCTATTCTCTTAAAGGATTGTGCTGATTACCTGCACTTTTAAGCCATGCCTCCTTATGGCCCACAGTTGATTTTGGCACTTTTTAGTTCTATTTTAGATATTTAGTCACAGATGGAACATCATTCCCTGAAGCTCAATCAGAAACAAACTACAAGAAAAATACTTCAGTTTTAATATTTGGCAATACACTTGGCAAACAAAGAAACTTATTTTCTGACAGAGAAAGTGAACATAGTTTCTTTCTTTGTTTCCCTTTAGAGGAATCCTGGAAACTCCCAGTTTCGAACCATCGAGGATGATTTGGTCACCGCTCTGGTAAAGTCTGGTTGCATTCCTGAAAACCATGGTGATGAAATGAAGAAGATGTCTTTCCAAAGATGTGCCAGGACAGATAAGGTATCCATTTATTCACCTCTGAAATCTATGACAGAAATATCTACATAACTTAAGTTTTTCTGTCTGGATTTACTTAATATTGGTGATAAAACTTTTAAATAGTATTTGGCTCATATTTATGTATTGGCTGGTACATTTTCTTTGCAGGGTATTGCCATAGCTTATTAAATGTTTTTTCTTTTCTTAACCAGAAACTTCTTTTTTTGCCTTTTGGTTGATATTCCTTAGGGTGTTTCTGCTGCTGGTCAGGTGGTTTCATTGAAGCTCCGTTTGATGGAAGACGTAAAAGAAAAAATCAATGAGCATCTACCACCACAGATCAGAGTCCTCGGTAAGATTCTTGCATATAAGTTCTTGCCCTAAAGGGAAAAAAAAAAATTAGCTAATTGTTGGGATTGCTGATTTTTCAGCTTTTCGTTCCTGATCTTCTCATAAGAACCGGTTGGTATTGATAACAACACGGAAAGAAGAAGCTGCAATGTGTTAAAAGATATTTAAATGGAAGCTACATTGTTTATATCAACATGTCAGCTGCTGATTGAGGCATCTATAGCTGAGAACAGTGTTTAATGGGTTTAGATTTTTCTCAATCTGGGCCATTTTTCTCATTTGGTTGTTTCATAGCCAGCTTTGTTGGGCATGAAAGTAAATTGCCAGCTACTTGGTGTCAATTTATACAAGTCTGCAGGTCTTAAATCTGCTCTTTTTGTCATGAACCATTCTGGATTTAGAAATGTTGGCAGCTTTATTTGAAATCTCATAGTTATGGAAGCGTAAAGCTTCTGGGAGTACTGCTGTTGATACTAAGTAATGCTTTTTGATTGCTAATATGATAAAAGATGCAAATGCTGTTATTTATAGATCTAAAGATGCTATTTAAACTTGTAATATGTGCAGTGACTGGTCAAATGTTTATCCAAAATGGAAACCAGTTGTTCTGTTTTTGAAACGCTGTGTTTATGGTGGATTTTTGTTCCCACAGGACTTAAGCGAGTGACCCAGGGATTTAATTCCAAAAACAACTGCGACGCTCGTACGTACTCCTACTTGCTTCCTACTGTGGCCTTTTCTCCCAAAGATTACGACACTGAGAATGCAGCAGCGTTTCGCTTGGAAGCGGAGACTCTCCAAAAGGTTAACCAGCTTTTTGCCCTCTACAAAGGCACCCATAATTTTCACAACTTCACTTCCCAGAAGGCTCCAAATGACCCCAGCGCCCGCCGCTACATCACTGAGATGTCCTGCGGAGAGCCTTTCATCCGCAACAGTTACGAGTTTGCTGTGATCACTGTGCGAGGCCAGAGCTTTATGCTGCACCAGATTCGCAAGATGATCGGCCTGGTGATCGCTGTAATTAAGGGCTATGCCAAGGAGCAGGTGATAGAGCGGAGCTGGGGTCAGGAGAAGGTGGACGTCCCCAAAGCTCCGGGACTCGGTCTGGTCCTGGAGAGAGTTCACTTTGACCGCTACAATAAGCGCTTCGGAGGGGACGGTCTGCATGAGCGGCTGGAATGGGATCGGGAAGAGGAAGCAATCAAAGCCTTTAAAGAGGCTCACATTTATCCCACCATTATTGAGACAGAACGTGAGGAAGGCTCCATGGTCAGCTGGATGTCCACTCTTCCCATCCATGACTTTGAAGCAACAGTTACAGGAACACAAGACGGTAAAGGCCAAAAACAGGTAGGTCTGAATTGTTTTTTTGATAGATGTGCAGCATATGGAGAAAATATATTTCTGTTTCAGTTAACTGTTTCTCCCCCCCTCCACCCTACAGGAGAATGCAGACGAAGGGAACAACTCTGACTAAGACTGCCTCTGGAAACAAACCTTTTGTCAAAGAAATGTCTTTCTATTTAGTATAATTTTTTTTTGCTGTTTCAAATCATAAACTGTTGCTATGAACAGCTAATTTAATAAAGACTATTCTCAGTTTTTTTAAGGTGATCTTTCTTTATAGTTCTTGGTGGTTATTTTGTATTGGAGTAGCTACAGTAAAGATGCCTTATTAGATAAAGGGACTCCTCTGTAATCAAGCTATATATTGACTATTGTAAAACGCCATTTTTTGTCCCTTTAAGATCCAAATAGGAAAATCTCACAAAATAAAAAACGTATACATATTTGTCTTTTTATTAATTTCCAACATTTTTAAATCTAATTTTTTACAACAATCAAAGTCAAATTAATAATTCAAATCAGTAATGGATGTTAAAATTGTTAAAACGGTTATCTAATTCAATAGATGAGTAGGGTAGTCGTCTCACCGTCATTTGCTGGATGGAATTACAGTCAGTACGCATGTATAGTATTACTGAAGTTTAAAATATCAACAACACTTCATATTGGTAGAAAGCAAAAAATACTAAATTTAGTGCATTAAAAATCCAACTGATGTTCTTCTGGAGCAGCAAGTTCTATTTTCATTACCCCTATTTGTCAAAAATGTTGATGTTTGGTCCATTACCCACCGTGAACTGTACGGGATATAGTATGGTAAATGACCTGTACTCATATCTCACTTTCTCAGGTCAGGAGATTAGACTCACGCTCTGATGGTGGTACACTGTAGCCACAGCTGCCCTGGGGCTTTTTAACAGAAAAGAGCGTCTTCTGACCGCCACCAGTGGACTATGCAGATGAAGTCTCTCTCCAAAGGACACAACACTGAAAGCTTTTAGCCAGCAACCAAACACCCTTAGATTGTAGGGCAAACTCCTGCACCTGACACCACCGTCGTCCCATATGAACAGAATACAAACATAAAATCAACAAATTTAAAGTTATTTGAATGCTAATTAGAATTTTAAGTATTGTTTGTGTCAATAAGTTCAAATATTTAAATACGGTAATCGTTATCTTTAGAGATGTTCTGTGTTCACTCCTCAAGTCTGAAACTCACATTTATTTAAAGAAAGCTTAAGACAATTGATATATTACTTTGAATTGTATGAATGCAAATATTAAAGGGATATTTTACCACTGATTTAAGAAAAGGCAAGTCAAATAATACTAATCATCCTTTGATTTCAGCAATTTTCAACACATTTGGTCATGGGTGGTTCTAGACGTTCTGGTCCCTGTACTGAAGACATAATACTCAAAGAAATTCTAATGATATGTGCTGGAACCGACATGGTTACTTTTAGGTCCTTTGGATCCATTTAATTTAATATTTTTTTTATTCTGTTTTACTAATTATAAAAAAAAAAAAAATAAGGTGATAGCTTCAGTGGTATTGAGATAGGATGCTAGTTTTCCTCTGCTAAATGTTTTTTTTTAAAGAATAAAAAAGAAAATTCTAATTTTTCAGCTGGATTTTTCAGTTTTTCTTGAGTTCTAATTCAGATTTTATATAAAACTTTTTTTTTTTACTTATTTAAGGTCAAAAATAGGTAAAATTCCTAAAATATGAATGTATATTGACCTAATAAGAGAATTTTACTTAAACATAAATTAATAGAAATTTCACCTTATGCAGCTATCTTAATATATTTAAATCCCTTGCCCTGTTTTTTATTTCATGCTTTTCTGTGGCCCCCATCAAAACATGCTGGCCCCCTCATACCCCCCTGGTACATTTGGTCTAGAACCGCCAATGCATTTGGTTGATGAAGGATCCCTGCAGTGGCCCGTGTAACGTTTAAGTCCGCAAAAAAGTAAACGACACTGGACAAAAGCAAATAATTAAGTAAAAATTCTGTTCATTTTTTCCACTTTATGTGACCCTCGGATCCGTTGTCTTCCAAATCAGATTTAATCACCATTCTCAACCCGAACTCTCATCTGCTGATCTGTTTCGCGTGAGTTGTTTAACCGATTTTCCAGCAGACACGCGAATGCACCACAGATTCAACAAACATGGCGCCTTCCAAAAAGCGCAACGTGAGTTCTAAACCTCGTGCTAAAGAGGACAAAACAGATTTGTTAGGTATGGTTGATCGTTTACTCGAAAGCAGAAAACATGCCAACGACGTTTTTGATATTATTGAGTCCCTTCAGGTGAGAAAATGTTTACATTTTAGCATCTTCCGAACACAGGTTGTTACGTTCTGCTAATTCCAGCATGCTTACCCACATTTTCCCTTTGAATTCACACAGTCAGATAAAGATAAGGATGTTATCTGCGCTATTAACGCCTGCTGCAAGCTGTTCTGCACATTCTTGGAGAGAAAGGATCTATTTATTGGGAAACTCCCTGGAGAAGATGAGGCTTTGAACGGTGAGAGTTCTGATCTGAAGTGATAAAAGTTTAGCACATTTTGGATTTAAGCCATACTATTTTAATAAATAACCATAATTTTCTAAGAAATACTGCCCAAAGGTTAGTAAACTCTCTTAAGTCGAGGTGTTGATTTTCCTGATTAAAAAAAAAATACAAATTTAAAAAGGGCCCCCAGCATGTTTACAGTGGACACAAACTGCTTTACGGCAGAATAAATTCTGCATACCATACCCACCTGATATATTTATTGCTAAAAAGCTTTTTTTTTCTAATTCTAAGGATTTAAATAAATTATTACAACTGGGGAAAGATTAGGTTCAATCTTGCAATGTAGTGTAAATTCAGTAGTTTGCATTTCAAATAAACACTTATAACTTGAAGCAGAAACAAATTGTTATTCATCTTTTTTGTCCGTTTTAGTTGTTTATTTATTATACTCAATTCATTGCATTCCAATTTGAGAATTTTTTGGTCAATAGATTTTTTTCTTAACAGATCAAAGTTTTCCTTATAATCACACTTTTTATTCTTTTGCATTTTGTACAATGGTTAAATTTCGTTTCTGTCTTTTGACCGAAAGAACCAAAGGATTTCTGATTTTCTAGATGTTAGGGATGCCAGCGATAAAATAAGACTGGAGAAATAATTTAAAGTTGTTAAATGGCAGGAATATCAACACTTGTCTGCCTACATTAAGAAAGTCCTAAAATTTAATGTAATTGTTTTGCATATTTTAATATTGTTGTACAAGAACATCTACTCTTCCTGAAAAATGGGCTGTTGGATTTTACTAACACCTTGTTATAAATGCTGAACTTAAAGGAATAGTACACCCAAAACATGATTAGCCTTCATTTTCTACTCACCCCCATGCTGAACAACACTCTGGAGTACTTTTTTGATATCTCAAATGCATCTGGAGATCTGGGAGGCTTCTTGCTGTCTGCTGACATTCAAATAATGGAGGTCCATGGTGCCCGAGACAGAAAGGTCCATAAAAGTCCACAAAAAACGTGCCAATATTCCTCCATACTGCTCGTCCAATGTATTCCAAGTGTCCTGAGTGGGTAGCATCCAGAATTTACTCGAAACGAAGTCATTTAGAATGTTTTTAGAGCATAAAAAGTAGTGTATAGGATTTCCTAAAAGCGCGTTCACGACGCTACGGAAACCGCGGCAGACCAAACCAAACGAAAGTGCGCATTCAGCTCGGCAAAGAACTCATGCTCTTCCTCAACACTGAAGTCCTCAGACATTTTTCTTTCGTTGTTTCTTTCTTTGCACGGGTAAACAGCACATTTCTTCTTCTACGCTTGCATTATCAGCAGAGCAGACGCTGAATGCGCACTTTCATCTGGTTTGGTCTGCCGGCTTCCGTAGCGTTGTGAATGCGCAGGCGCGCGCTTTCAGGAAATCCTATACACTACTGTTTATGCTCTAAAAAGATTCTAAATGACTTCGTTTCGAGTAAATTCTGGATGCTACCCACTCAGGACACTTGGAATACATTGGACGAGCAGTATGGAGGAATATTGACACGTTTTTTGTGGACTTTTATGGACCTTTCTGTCTCGGGCGCCATAGACCTCCATTATTTGAATGTCAGCAGACAGCAAGAAGCCTCCCAGATCTCCAGATGCATTTGAGATATCAAAAAAGTACTCCAGAGTGTTGTTCAGCATGGGGGTGAGTAGAAAATGAAGGCTAATCATGTTTTGGGTGTACTATTCCTTTAAGGTTGTTGGCCTCTGATGCTTTCAGTGATGTTTTAAAATGATTTTTTTTGGTCCAGGTGAGCACAGCGCTGAGGAAAAGTACAAGATTTTTATGCGCCACCGTTACAACAACTGTGTAGAGATGATGCTTGAGCATCTTAACCATGAAACGCATGAAGTTAAGGTGAGCTTACTTTGACTTTCTGTTCTTTCTTTTGTATGAACTCAGTTAGGTTAATCAGCATGTCACTGATAAGAAACAAAATATTCTGCATGAAATCCTTATAATTGATTTATGTACGTTTGGCTTTATAAATCCTTCATACTAATATTTTCTGCAGATTTTCTTTTATATATATATATATATATATATGCATTTTATTGTTAGACAGCAATAACTTCACTGAATACAAAATGTCTTTAAAGTTCAGTTTCATTTATTAAGGGACTAAACTGTTGAAACCAATGTGAGCTTCATCAAGATGTTTCTACAATAAGTCTTTTTTTCATCAGGGGTCTTTGCCTATGAAGCTATTTTAGCTTAGCTTTTTCTTTTTATTGAATCACTAACAGTGAGGACAGTGGAGTCTCCAGTACTAAACTTGTTATTTTTTTTAATGCTTTTCTAAGATTTCTCGAGTCATTGATGCATAATTTGGGTTATCTAGTAAGGTTACTATTTGGTGGAATCTTCGAAGTTGGTTCATAATTCCACACTGCAATATGTCAGTGACTTTGTTTATCTATGTCCTTGAATTTTATTAAATAAAGTTTTGCTGCTTTGATAATATAAGACAGGTTCTTAAGATTTCTTCTTTCTGTGAATCTGGCTGTAATCAGGCCTTATATTGCCATAGCCAACCCTGTTTTCCAAAATGAATAAGAAACTGTATTTTACATAAACCTGTATTATATTTTTTTTTTATAAAGGAAGAATTTAAGTGTTAAAAATGGAGTAAAGGTGACACAGAAAAGCAGATTAAATCTGTAAAAGGGCAAAGATTTTCTGTCATAAGGCTGTAAGCAGGAATTGTTTCTTCTGCCTGACTCTAGGAAAGTGCCCTCTGCTGCCTGATGAAATTTGCTGCAGGCCAAGGAAAGCATCCTCTGGAAGATCTGGACTGGAGTGAACATTTCAGCTTCCCAAGAGAGCTGATTCAAGTAGGAGTTTATCTGTTTTGTTATGACCGATATGTCACATGCTCCCTTTGGTGTTTTAATTAATTCCTGTCTTAGTGTACAAATCTAAAAAAAATCATGATGGTTAAAGCAATTTTGGTTTCTCTCACTGACAGACAGTAGTGCAAAGCCTCCTGTCTCAGACCTCGGACAGCTCCCTGCTGATCTCCAGGTTCCAGGAGTTCCTTGATATGGAAGACGTACGCTACTATGTAATGAGCTCCATCCGTGCAAATGTCGCCACAGTCATGGAAAAAAACAAAGGGGTAGGAAACCATCACTTTCCACTTGTACCTTTCCTTATTTCAGCATATTTATTGCACATTAATTTATTTTTTTTAAACTAATTTCTCTTTTTAGGCTGTTTTGCCAGTATATCAGGGCAATGTGTTCACTCTCATGTCCAACCTTAATATGCCGAGCCAGGACTCAGAGCTTACCAACTTCATGGTCAAACAGGAAGGTAAGTTTAATGTTTTTTAAGTTAGCAGAAAACGGCTGCTTAGATCTGATGCTTTTTTGCTTAACAGTCATCATTTAGAAGAAGTAAAAGATTATTTGAATATCTTATTCATATTACTAACCTGAAATATTATTTTTAGCTAAACACGAGGATTGGAAGGCAGCAAAACTGCACGTAAGTGAAATATTGAAAATGTTATCATTTGTCTTAAATGTGTCCTAAATTAGCCTTGTAATGGGCTCTCTCCCCTTCAGGAGCACAAACGTGCCTTTGAGAGGATGTGGCTGGGATTTCTCAAGTATAAGGTTAGATATTAGCAAAAACAGTAAATGGTTTGTCCTCCTTTATCAATTCAGTCTCACTGGGTTTGTTGATGTCTCTTTCTGCTGCAGTTGCCTAACAGCATGTATAAAAAGGTGTTGGTTATACTTCATGACTCCATCTTGCCACACATGAGCAAACCCACTCTTATGATTGACTTCTTGACAGCTGCTTACGATGTTGGTAAGTTTATTATTCTTTTCTGGTATGAAAAGTCCTAATTAAGCTTCCCATTCAGGGTTTAGGTCTGGAAATAAATATCTTGTATTGTCCCATAGGGCTCAGCTATTAATTGCATTTGCAAAATAATCACAATTTAACAAAACCAAGTTTTTAAATCACAGAGGTACTGAACTTTGACTAGGAAACTCATTTTCTTTTGACTCCAGCCCTTTAGGTTGCAGTAATATGTTTAAATTGGGGTTGCTGCCACAAAAAAGGAAGAAGCAACTTCCAGCTAGTCTGCAGATCCATCCATGCATGTAGAAGTCAGCAAGTTCCAAACAAAGATAACAGTAAAGTCCTGGAACAATATAAACTGGTGAAGCAAGGTTTCAAGGTCCTTAAAAAAACTGAAACCATGGAGTGAAACATCTACATGCTTTTGTTTAATTCAAAGGAAAAATCGAAATAAATTTGCAATGTTGGTTGAAAATAATGGCCTTTTTGATTCATCGCAAAAATGTTCAGACCTATTGTCCCAGCAGTCAATGGCCTGGAAAAAGGAAGCTTGCAAATACATAAAAAAAGGTTAAAATAAAAAATATAATGTACAAAATAAAAAAAAATATTAAAAAACTGTTGGTGAAATTGTGCTTCTGAGTAGGATGCTTCAGAATATCTGCAAATAATGTCTGAAGAATAACAGCAGAGAGGTAAACATGTATGAAGATTTTATTTCAAGGGGTGTCCAGATACAACTTTTTTATATACAATATAATACCAAAGCTTAGAGCATTGACTGATACTGACTCAATACCATATGAGAGGAAGGATCCATTATGGATCCCCTTTAGCATGTATCCACCTTTCAATGAAGAAGTGCTTCAGGCCCCGTCCACACGAAGACGAACCCTGGCCTAAACGCACAAATTTTTCACCAAACCAGCCTCTCATCCACACGAAGCCGGCGTTTCGGGGGTCTGTAAACGATCATTTTTTTATTCACCCTTCAGAGTGGGAAGATTCTGAAACGCCGTATTCGCGTTTCCATCTTTACACCCTAACCGCATTTTTTTTTTACACGCATGCGTCATAGCGTCGCCTCTAAACACGCAAGCGCGACACATCACAACAACAATGGCGCCGTTGCTGCTAATGCTACTCACCCTGCTGTCGGGCTGGTCGGGCTTACAACAGAATCTTCTTCTGGAATATCTCCAGGAAGAACAGAGCAATATCGACCACATAGTTCAGCACCTGAATTTGACTTAACCACGAAAATAGACCCGCAGGGCAACCATGTATAAATATTAGTGCGCATGCCCAACATTTCGCTTATTTTTGCTTTGGCACCACAGCGCCACTTACAGGCCTGGCATACATTTTGCAGCGTTTTCATGCATTCGTGTGGACGCTCACATTTATTTTACGTCTCCGTCTTTACGGCAAACGTTTTGGAAAATATCAGCGTTTCGTGTTCGTTTTGACTTCGTGTGGACGGGGCCTCAGTAGTGGACAAGCTTAATATTATCTATCAGTGCTGTTGTATTTATCTGGGTCTTTATCAGCTGTGAAGTCAGAGTTATCAACCTGAGATCCTTCAGCAGTGATGGCTTTTTTGTTGAACCATGGCTCTGCTGATAATGTTGCTCTTCTGATTTTGTCGCACGTTACATCCTCATCCTACAAAGAGTCCAAGTGATGACCTGCTTTTAATTTTGTAATGAAAGCCATCAGACTTTTATAGAAGATCATAAGAAGTAGAAGACCATTTAAAATGAGTTCACTATAATGCTTTAACAAGGTATACTGGTCATTAGAATAAAAACAACAAAGCACCCCACAGCATCACAGAACTTACACCGTGCTTGACAGTGAATATAGGTCCCTTTTTTCACAAATTCATCTAATTTTATGCCAGAAACACCTGAAGTGTTTGATGCAAAAAACCTCTGTCTAATATGAACAGAATGCCCCAGTTCCAGTAAAAGTTTCAGTAGTGTTCAGTAGATAAACTCTGCGTTCATGTTTGTGAAATTTATGCAGACATTTTCATAACCCTCTTATTTTGAAAAATGGCTGAAAATAGGCCTCTGTTAAAATTATACATGAACCAAACAGATTAGAAGTTGCCAAACACAGAAACCAACTTATACAAAAATGAATAAAAATTGGGGAGTAAGTGATTATTGTACCTCCTTAATTTGAGTTTTTAAAGTTCTAATGGTTTGTAGGAAGAACTTATGAAATGATGCTAAAATTGATTATTTTGAGTCTTTTGGCACATCCTAATTAAGAGTTGGAAGTAGAAATACTAACCATGATGGAAAATAAATTTATGTGATTCTATTTCAATAGGTGGAGCAATAAGTCTGCTGGCCCTGAACGGCCTGTTTGTGCTCATTCATCAACACAACTTGTGAGTATCTTTATTGAAATGCCAGATTCCTTCATTTAGCTGTAGAAAAAATACATAAATTAAGCTTCTTACCTTAAGCTTTGAATTTTAAGGGAGGATGTAACTCTTTGTAAACTGTTATGTTTGTTTGCAGAGATTACCCTGATTTCTATAAAAAGTTGTATAATCTTCTGGAGCCCTCTGTTTTCCATGTGAAGTACACGGCACGATTCTTTCATTTGGCCAATCTCTTCCTGAGTTCCAGGTAATACCATTCCTTACATGTTGTTTTATAATGACGCATTTTAGCCAATAAACACCAAACCGCATCAATGTGCAGAAATTATAAAGTGTCTGTGCTCTTCTCCAGCCACCTTCCAGTCTACTTGGTGGCTGCATTCGCCAAACGCCTGGCCCGTCTGGCTCTTACAGCTCCGCCCACAGCTCTTCTCATAGTGCTGCCCTTCATCTATAACCTGATCCGACGCCATCCATCCGCCAGGGTTCTGATTCACAAGCCCAGCTCAGGAAATGGTGAGTCATATTTCTCCTTACGGCTGAGTTTAGGTCTGTTGCAGCTTTCTTAGTCATTACTGGTAATAACTGTTTGTAAGAATCCAGTTTTAATGTGTAACTTGCTTCTTAGGATATGGGTTCAACTATGCAGTACAGTTATTTCTGTTATTATTTGCAGAGCTTCTTGAGGATCCATACGTGATGGAAGAAGAGGATCCAGCTCTTTGTCATGCTTTAGAGAGCAGCTTGTGGGAAATTAAGGTAAATGTTTTCGCTTGTGATGAAGGAGCAGCTTTTTATACACTTAACCTCTTAAAACCGGAGCCATTGTGCGCAGCTCCAAGCTGACTCCAAGCTGTCTGAAATTTTCTGCATGTGGTTGACATGATGTAGAACAAATATAATACAATAAAACCTGCCTTTTCTCAAGAATATCTTTACTACTGCTGTTCAAAAAGGACCTATAATTTCTGAGAATAAAAAGCAACAACTTTGAGTCATGTTTGAGCTGATGCAGGTTGGTCTGTGTTCTAGTCACCCAATTTTAATTTATATTAGGGCTGCAACTAACGATTATTTTAAAAATCGATGAATCGGACGATTATTTTTTCGATTAATCGATGAATCGGACAAAAAATATTTTTTATATTAACCTCTTTATTCCAAAATAAACATTTTAGACAGAACAAACAAGCACACAAGTACAGGTTGCTCATTAACTGTACTGGTGCAATATGAAAAATAAATGTTTGTGTTAAAACTACGCAAACTTACATGAGAAATGTAGCTGTACATCCACAAAATATAGGCTACTTTGTTTCATAAAGCGCAAAAAAAGAGTTTTTTTAGACTAGAAGAGTTCTGCCTTTTAAGACAGGAAAGTATAGCAGTTAAAGTTGCTACTTGAGAAAATACTGAACCCTAGAGATAAAAATAGCCCTGTGATTCAAATTATAAATTGTATTTGGAATAAAAATGAGAGAACTAGGGGTGCTAAAAAACACATCCTCCAAAGACAGATATTTACATGGGAATGTGGCATATAATTAATTGACATATTACTGATCTTGCTGGATTTTATTCTGCTTTACTTTCATAAATTGCAGGATCTTCTTTACTTTATCTTTGCCAGAAGATTTAAACTTTAAAAGCCTTGCCCACATAATTTGCAAGTTAATTTATTTATAAAGTAAATGTAAACGCTGCTTAAGCTAATTCAAATGAAATTAAAAGTAAAATAAGTAGCCAACCTTATCACTGTCTGTAACCTACTAACACGGTAAGGAAAGCATCAGATGAGCTACCTGAGAAACTAACGTTACGTTTCCCCACTTTAAAACCAAACAAACATGGTGGTTCCGTGCCATGTTAATTTCTTTTGACAAAAGTTGCATGTTATCACTTTTTTCACTTTACAAAGCGCAGGCTATTTTAATTATTGTGATCAATTTGCGCCGTCAATCCCGCTGCATGCGCGCTTCATTTGCAGTCTGGACGCTGAGGCTGACTGCAGCGCAGAGAGGGACTCCTGCGGGAGCGGGGGGAGGCGCCCCACGGCAGAGTAGGAACGATACATGCTTTCACGTAAGAGTCTCCAAAAGCCGCCAGTGACACCGAAAAAAGTAGCCAGATTTGTCGCTAGTCGCTTTTTTGAAAAATAGTCGCTGGAGGGGTCTGAAAAGTCGCTGAGTTGGCAACACTGCACCTGCGGCGCTGACTCGCTCTGCCATATTTTTTTTTTCTCCCTCTTTCAGTCAAGAGGCAGTGATGACCATAGATATCCATAATAATAAAATAAAAATAATTATTATGGATATCTATGGTGATGACGGCGCGGCGGATGACGCATTAATCGCGCGACACAACTAATCGATGTTGAAATTCGTTGCCAACGCTTTTAAAAGTCGATTTTTATCGATTTTATCGATTCGTTGTTGCAGCCCTAATTTATATATTAGGAAACTAGACGGTGTTAGCTTTGAAATAATGTGTTGCTCATGTATTTTGGGCTTACAGTTCCTAAGTTATTTGCTTTTCCATTTGGGTATGCAAAATGGGCAAGGATTACCCAAAATGAGGTGGATGTTAAGAGGTTAAATTGGGGCAGATGTTTTTTTTTGGATCAGTTCTGTTTTCTTCAGCTCTATGCTCGCTCATAGATTAGTTCAGATAAAAGCAGAAACACGCTGAACTTCAGCGCTAAATGAAATGCTTAGCAGCAGTGTACAAACTTAGTATTATCTATCAACGAATAAATCTATGCCACAGTTTCTTTAGCTGTTAAAAACAGTGTATGCTTCTTAGTTTATAAACACTGTTAGGTTCTTATAAATCTTGTGTGAGACAGATTTTTTTAATTGCAATTTAACAAAATGATATTTTTAACTCTGAGTTGGTCATATTACACAGACGTAGATTTCATCACTAAAGCTTTAGATTGCAGTAATATGCTTAGAGTTAAAAAATCTTCATGTCTATGGTGAGCTCAAAGGTACATGCATATAATATTGCATTCACAATATTGGCTTAAAAACAACAACTCAGTTATGACTTTTCTGCAAAAATATTAAAGAAATACTAAATTGAACTTTGAAAGTTTGTCAATCTTGTGAATATTCTTAACAAACAGGCAGTTTAAAACGGCATTTATAGATCATACTGACTACTATCAATTTGAATATCCAAAGAGTATCAAATAAATGAATATATTTGTGATACAATCATGTGCCTCTATGCATTGTGGAGAGCAATCTTTCAGGTCCATGAAAGGAAACTAGAATATCTTGTTTGCTGCACGGATGGTTAATATTTGACTGGTCATACATTTTCCTTTTTAGATGGAATAAAATGAAAGAATTGGTTCAGTAAGTTTAATAAAATTTCCTGAAGGTATCTGAAAGTTCCAGGAATTAAATGGTGAAGTTGAAAAAGTTCAAAGAATGTTCCTGGAAAGTATTTCAACTGGAAAGTTCAAGGACTGTAAGTTGCATTAAAAAGTTCTGACAAAGCAACTTGTAACTTTTGTGAAACATTCTGGAAAAGAATCTTATCAGTACCAGAAAACCATCTCTTGAAAGTGTTTGCTAAAAGCTAAACCTCTAAGCTCTGTAAAGTACATGTAGGTTTACCCATATGTACTCTGTACTAGGGGTGTAAATCACATCCATCATGGCGATTCGATGCAGTATCGATTTCCTGACACAATGATTCGATTATTTTCGATACTCAAGAATACACCACGATTCGGTTAATCGATTATTCTCTCTTTTTTAAATTTTTTTTTTTACACCTTACAGGCTAAACAAAGTTTCAAGTTTGAAATAAATCAATGAAAGCTGTAATATCGTTATGCTTTTTTTTTTTTTTTTTTTAGAAACAACAGCAAATAACAGAAGTAGAAAATTTGCATCAAAAAATATTGCAAAAATACTGCAGAAAATCAGTGCAATGAGTGCAATGCAATACCTCAGCTCCAGACGTCACCGCCCCTTGAGAGACGCTCCGCTGCACCTCTCCCAAATTGTAGCTGACCGCAAACAGTGCCGCAGACAGGAGGCCAGCTTGTTTTGTTTTTATGACTGAAATTGCGGAAAACAACTTTTAAAGTTTGACCCGCTAGAAGACCGAGGTGCGCGAGAACGCTGGGACCCTTTTTCCAGCTGGATCTCCTCTCTTTTTGGCCCTCATGTCCCTCCGTCGTCGGACTAAACTCGCCCCCACTTCCTCACCGCCTCGGCCGTATCTAGACCCACAGTGTGTAGCACAGACCACGCTTCAATATTGAGCATAATTTAAAAATGTCTGTGTCAAGCTTCCTGCAACACACTGCTGTAAGAGTATAACCAGGAAGCGAGGTAGGAGGGCAAAATAGGTTTAGCGCCACCGCAGCACGGGAGGGAGAATTACGCCCAGGAGCAAATGGATAAAAATAGACCGGAGAAGAAAAAAAAACATGAATCGATTATCCTGCAGACGTATCGATGCATCGGATCGTCGGCTGTTGGATCGATGCATCAATACAAAACAATTATTATTTACACCCCTAGAAAGTAGACAATAAAGTTGATTAGTTCTAAAAAATATAGCTTGAAATCTTGAAAATAACATCCAAGCAATTAGAATGGTGATTAGAACAGCTGGATTGGTATTGTGCAATAATATAGTACAGCAAGATTTGTTTTTATACTTCTGTATCTGCAAGATGGGGGGGAGTATGTTCTGTCAAAGGAGCCTCTAAGTTCTTTGAAAGTTTTAGAAAATAAAAATAAGTCATAGGCAGCACCTGGTACATTTTGAAAAGTAATCCTTTAGGAAGATTTGGGCTTAATTACAGTACATCGACCACCCTATTATCTATAGAAGCCATAGAAATATTCTGTCTACGGTAATATTAATATAATAGCAGTCTCTAAGACACTTCATAACCCTTATTCTCCTGTTTTACAGACACTGCAGAAGCATTATCACCCAGATGTGGCCAAAGCTGCAATGCTGATAAACACACCTCTATCAGAGCAAGAAGATGATATCGATGAGTTGCTGGAGATGACTGCTTTTGAGGTAAGCAAGCTTTTTCTCTTCTAACTTTCAAACCATTTTATTTTAGCTCTGTGGTTTGCAGAATGCTTTCAGTACAAATTCAAAGAACAATACTGCAGGATTTGCTGGAATTGATTAACATGATCTATAGGTTGTTAAATGTATATAGCATTACCGTATTTTCATGACCATAAGGCGCACCGTACTAAAAGGCGCAGTCTCAGTTATGTGTCCCATTTCTGTATTTAACACACACATAAGGCGCACCGGACTATAGGGCGCGTTTTTTATATACAGGTACATGTCCTCTACTACCTTTAAATACCTCTACTGCGTATTTAAAAATACAGCGGGGGCAAAACTGAGTATGACTGTGCTTTATTCATGTATTTATTACAAAGTATTAATCAAACCTGGGAGCTGACCGTGAGACAGACACATCGCAGATGACACAGCGCTGTGATTACTCCTAAATTAACTTAAAATCCTGAAACCTGCCGACGGAATATGTTCGCTTTTATTACCGGTATCCTGGTGCCTGCAGTTTAAATTATTTAGATGAAAAACACCTGCCAGCAGCCGCGGTGAACCTGGAGGCTGCCCAGCCTAGAGGCTGCTGATGAAGGGATTTCTGCTGTCGGTGCACCGCTGGTATGTGGGGGTCTGAGCGCCTCCGACAGAAATAGATAATCTGGATGAACTGACTGCAATTATTAAATTTTCAGGTGGACTTTCTCACTTAAAAACATATTAAAACTACTTTATTCCCACTGATCACAGCAAATATAGCTGCAAGATTTAGATTATTTAGATGAAAAAACACCTGCCAGCCACCGCGCTGAAGAGGAGGAGACCCGGCCCAGAGGCTGCTGTTGAATTAAGTTTTCAGGTAGAAAAATAGAGCGGGAGCAAAACTGAGTATGATTGTGCTTTATTAATGTATTAATCAAACCCATCAAAGTCATCATCCTCTGTTTCTGAATTAAAGAGCTGCGCTAAATCAGACATGCCAATTTCCCCTTCTTCGCTGTCAGTCACTTTCCGTGCAGCGCGGCTCCTCAGAAATAATGCCGGCTTTTGCGAAAGCTTGAACAACAGAGCCAGCAGACACGTTAGTCCAAGCATCTACAATCCATCCGCAAACGGTGGCGTAACTTGCCCGGCGCTGCGTTCCACTTATTGTGAAACTGTGGTCTCTGTCGGTCATCCATCGCTCCCACGCCGCTCGCAGCCTTACTTTGAACGGCCGCTTCACACCGATGTCGAGCGGTGGAAATTCCTTTGTCAGACCTCCCGAGATAACGGCGAGCACAGCGTTAATTTGATTCACCATGTTTTTCTCATCAGCTGTGAGATGGGCACGCATGGAGTCACAGATTAACAGCGATGGTGATGCGTGGAAAAAAACACCTGTTCTCCTCACATACACCTGCCTCAGCCACGATTTCATCATCTCCTCATCCATCCAGCCCGTTTCATTTGCGTTAATATCATATGTCATCAGAGCGATGTGTCTGTCTCGCTGTCAGCTCCCAGATCAGCTTCTCTGATTGGTTGATGCGGCGCGTCCAGCAGCAAAACTTCAATTTTTCCATCTCGAGCAGCAGCAGCGCGTTGGCAGATGCTTAAACGCTCCTGCTGCTCAAAACGCGCTGCGGGACCTTTTGCTGCGCCTATACGCGCGTCAACCATTGACTTTGCATGTAAACTCGCTGCTTCTGCTGCACCTGCTGGGTCCGGTTCACACCGATGTCGAGCGGTTGAACAGCGAGCACAGCGTTAATTTGTTTCCCCATGTTTTTCACATTAGCTGTGAGATGGGCACGCATGGAGTTACATATTAACAGCGATGGTGATGAGTGGAAAAAAAACACCTGGTCTCCTTACATTCAGCCACTCTTTCATCATCTCCTCAATGAGGTGGTCTCAAAAGTCGCAGTTACAACACACATAGGGCGCACCGCACCAAAGGGCGCACCGCACATTTTGAGGATAAAAAAAAAGACATTTTAGGGGGGCCTTATAGTCGTGAAAATACGGTAGTTATTCAGCACTGAAGTATAAATTAGAATTGAAATGCCAATGTTTTCAAAATCTCTGGCATGAATGGGAATTTATCCATTGTTCTTGTTTTCAGCTAATGGAGCGAGACCTGAAGCCGTCCTCAAACCAGAGTGTCCCAATGGAGTTTGAGATAGCTACATATTTACTGAAAGGAGGAGGAGAAGTGTTAGGACAACATTTCTGTCTAGTTTAAAAGAAGTTTTCAATAAATCTGATGAATGCTTGAAATGGTTTGGAGCCACAGAGACGATGGACAGACTTAACCTGGAAAACTGCCTCCTAACTTTTTTTTAGGTCTTGAGGAAAATGATTGTTTTGTTTTTAACCTTGACTTGTAATGATAATTTTCTACCCATATATCAAAAGTTTAAGTGGTATATAAATATGAAACATTTACATCTACAGCTGAGTTATCTCCTTTTTGACTAAATGTTAACATGCAGCACATTTAATGCCTTAACTCCACCCTAGTTCTAAGGTGCCATTGATGATGATAAAATGGTGTGACCTAAGAACCCTGCAAAATAATGCAATTATTAGATTTCACTTAGAAGGTATTTTGATATTTCTTGTGAACCAAAGGGGCTAGGCAAGTGAGAACCACCTAATTAAGCAATGATGAGATAGATCTGCAGTCTCCATTGATGATGATGATGCATTGGCAACAACCCCACATTATCCATATGTTTGTAAATGTATCTTGCAAAGTCTCATCCAAACAAAAGGTCAGACAAATTGAGGCTTAATTAGGCAAAGATTTCCAGAAATGCAAACTCAATCCCTTATATTGGATTTGTTCAAAAGGCTGCAAGTCATCCTTGTTAAGGAGAATTAGTTTTCACTGAACCACCAGGTTGATTACAATAAACGAAGCCTCTGTATTACCCCTATTATCATTAGAAATCAAAGCGCTGTATGAACTCTGCCCAATGGAATACTTTTGATAAACCAATTACATTGGACCAATAATCTGAGGAAGATGTAAATAAATCCTACCTCATATGAAAAAGACTCAAACAGCAAATCTCTGCTAAACAAAAAGAGGATCATCTTTTTTTGGACCAAAGAGTCCCAAAATCTCACGACTAAGGAGCAGTGCTTTTTCTTCAGCACAAGGGTTTTGGTGAAATTTTAACAAAGCAGCATTACAAAGTTTGATTTGCTTTAAAAGACCTAAGCAAAAATTTTCCACATCAGCTAACTTTGCCCTGATTTGGCCATACATAGTTGAATTCTAATAAGACATATTAGAAAAAAATAATTTTGTCAGTTTAATTAAAGACATTGACAAACTGTTTATGAAATAGTATTAAAACGTTGACTATAGGCAGAAAGGAATCCCATCCAGGTCTGTATCATGTCATAGGAGCTTTCTCCTCTTACTTTGTATCAGCGTTACCATGGTGCCACTGAAGGCTTACAGTCTTTGTAGTTTGGGACTGTATTGCATGAAACTGTAGAACCCATCAACATTATGTCCCATTGATTTTGAATCTGCCCTCTTTCTCCAAAATCCACTGAAGGACATAACTTTTTCGAGGTGAGTAAGCCCAGAATATCTGTTTGAGACAAAGGTCATAAACTGCATAGAAAGAGTCGGAAATCTAAAGCAAGGAGTTATTCATTCAAAAAATTAAAAATCTTTAAAATAGTTAAAATTCCAAATTTTAAATTCAAGCATAAAGCATTTCAGCTTTCTCATCTCTTCATGTGTAACCATTCTCCTGTAAATGCTAACTTTTGATAGAAAGCGTTAATTTGCACAAAGGTACATCCAGGTCACCATAGATGGGGATTTACTGCCCTCTGATAAAGGTTGATGCTCCTCCTATCATCACGTGGTGATGAGTAATCCTACCTTACATAACTCAATAGAGCTCTATCCTCACTGATCACATTCACACACTTCCACTCCCAGTTCATATATTTGGGGGAATAAAGTTAAACTGCAGGTGCGGTTCAGCATTAATGAATGCTTTTATTCTTGGAATTATTTTTTGGATTTAAGCTTGATTTATCCACAAGTTATACAAGAGTGGTTGAAGTGATAGTGTATAATGTTTTATATCATTAGGGTTGATATGGTCCTATTTAAAAAAAAGGGGGTTTATCATATAAACTTATTTCAACCAAGCTTAGATCTTATGTAATTTAGGATTTACTTGTCTCCGTAGTTACTGAACACTTTTCTTTGCTTTGCCTTTTTAATTTGTTACTTTGATTTATGGATACAGTAGGCATCAGATAAGGGACATTTTGGAGGAAAATTATGAAACAGGATTAAAGCCAGTTTTTGGTGTTTTTTTTCATAACTCAGAGTTAAGATTTTTCTGAATTCTGAGGAAACAAATCTAGAATTTTGCATGAATTTTCACAATTGGCCTATTACTCTTCTTTAAAAATTGGAAATAAGCATTGTTGTATAGATTTGTGTTGCTGGTAACTTTGTCTATTTTCTGTCTGAGTCATTAATGGAGCTGTCCGTGTTTCTTCTCCAGCCCTCATTACCAAGTTCTACATGAATCTGTTATTCTGCAGTTTATTTAATCTAGTTGTGTTGATTCATGAGGGTTCCCAGAACATGCATGACGTTACACTAGGCCTTGAAGACTGTTTTTGGATCTCCTGGCTAAGTGTCTTTGTGTTATCAAGTCATAAATGTCAACAACTGTGTTTAGTCTCCTCTTTCTCACCCCTTAATAAATAAACCTATTTTACAATGAACATATTTTGCTTCCTATGGTTATACAGCTGCAAAACCAACTGCTTGGTGAATTTTTCTGTACTTTAGCAGGTTCTTTTACTACTTAATTTGATTGTAAATGAGAGGATTGTGAATTTATGCAAATTATATATATATATATATATATATATATATATATATAAGGCTTTTCCCGATCCGATCCACGTATCGGATCGGGACGCCGATATTGGCAAAAATAATGCGTATCGGCAAAGCATGTAAAATGCCGATCCAGACTGGCGATCCAGTTTAAAAAAAAAAATCCGGTCCGTATTTTCCAGTTTCGCCGATTGAAACGATCCATTCCACTATTTTGCGCCAGTGTTCCCCTGTTTTGCATTTTTATTAAAACTTACAGTAATACTTGCACCTTTAACTGTTTACGGTTTTACTGTTCACTGTGCAATTTCAGATTGCTATTCATAATTTTGTCCAGTTTGTGTTTATCTCTTAATAAACAGGTAAGTTTGTTGTTACCAAGCATTGTGTTTTATTCAATCTCACCTAATTTAGCTGGCTAGATATTATCAAAAGTACTAAAACCCTTTTCAACATGAGTCTTACAACTAAGGCTAAATACTTTAACTTAAACTTAAATACATGCTCGGATAGGCTGGTATCGGCCAGTATCGGTATCGAATCGGAAGTCCAAAAACAATATCGGTATCGGATCGGAAGTGCAAAAACCTGGATCGGGACATCTCTAATATATATATATATATATATATATATATATATATATATATATATATATATATATATAATGCTTAGCCCTATTTTGATTGGATCATAAATGTTTACAGCCCTTAAAATCTGCAAATCCTTTGAACGCAGGCATAAACTGGATCAAGTTGAATGCTTTTAACACCATGTGAGAAGAAGTGGAGGTGGTGGAGTATAAATACCTCGGTGCTCACCTGAACAACAGACTGAACTGGAGACGCAACTATGAAGCTGTCTGCAATAAAGGACGGAGTAGAGTGTATTTCCTTAGAAAGCTTTGCATTTGCAGTAAGATGCTAAATATCTTCTATCAGTGCTGGAGAGTGTGATGTCTTCTGTCATCATCTGCTGTTGTAATGGCATCAGAGCAAATTAATTAAATAAGCTCAACAAGCTAATAAAGAAGGACAACTAGAACCTCTGTAGATCATTTCACAAAGAAGAACTCTGTATAAAATGAAGAACATTATAGAAACCTTAAGGGCTATCTTTATCAGACTGTTTAACTCCAACAGAGTGTCTTCAGTTGAAGAATTATTTAGATAAATTAGCTTTTTATAAACAACACTATAGATGTATGAACCCAGAAATGTATAATATTTGGTTATTTAAAAGAAAAAAAACTATGTAAAATACAGTAATTGTCAGTATATATCAGTTTGTCATAGGGAACCTAGACATAGAGATATAAAATAAGCAGATAGACCTTTGAAAGATGCATCATTTAAAAATTTTTTAAATAATATAAATAAATACTGCTTGCGACAATGGGTGTGGACAAAATGATAGCGCAGAGTGCATATAAAATTGTATTTTTAAAGTTTTCTAGGAGATTATGTGGGCTTAGACAACCAGCACTCGGGTGGACGATCTGCTGAGCTAAGCCAGTCACAGATGGAGTTACAGTGAATCCAAAGTCAGTTTGCTATAATTTGGGCTGGATACAAGCATCACAAGCACCTCCTGCATAACAAAGGCAAGGTCACAAAGTGCTGCACTCTGCAGGTCTTTATAGCCTCCAATGCCATTACAGCAAGAATAAAACACAAAAGGTAAACTTTAAAGTAAGGGAAGGTTAAAACAAAACAGTCCAACATCAGTAAAAGGTCCGTCCCTGTCTTTGATATATTACATTACAAATCGTAAATATAAAGTGCATCTGAAAACTATTCAGAACACTGCTAGTTTCCACATTTATTTAAGACATCTTCAATGTGAAAATAATATAATAATAATATTGGCTTTTTTGATCCACATTTGGCATCACAGCCTCAAGTCTTTTTAAATATGATGCTACAGACTAAGAATCTATATTTGGACAGCTTGTCCTATTCTCCTCTATTATGGACTCTGGCTTTGCCAGGACATGGACACATTTGAAATCTTAGCTGGGATTTGGATTGTTGTCCTACTAAATAACATATAGATTTATTGATTCTTTAAACATAGGCTCAAATGCAGCAAATTTTGCACATGTACTTAAAGCATTTGTAACTGATTTCATTACCCCCGACCCCATTAACTAACTTGAGGAATACTGTAATAAGCAGAAGATCCCTCAGTGAAACCAATCTGTCAGTGTTGAGAAAATAATGGGCAATGTAGGTTAGCATTTGTCAATGAACACATTAATAAACCTAAAACTTTAAAACATGTGTTTTAACTAGACACCCATCCTAAATACACAGGTAGTAAGCAGGATTAAGAATAGTCAAAAATCAAAATGTTAAAGTAAAAATAATACAACTTTTGATTTACGCTGTACTGTGAGAACATGCTCTTTTTAACCAGTGAGGATGAAAATTGAATCTTTGATGTCTTATCCTGCATGACCCCACCCTTCCTTCAGACAAGCATGACTCCATTACAGTCCTGCTCAGAGGAGAACAGCATGTCTTTAAAAGATAACTTTAATTTTTAAAATCCAGGCTGAGACAG